CCCACTTTTTCCCCCAAATTTTCCAATAAAAATATCCCAGATCCAGATCCCAAAATCCCTCAGATCCCAAATCCCAAATCCCCCAAAAATTTCCATTTTTTCCTCATTTTTTCAGCATTTTTCGCCGTATTTTCGCCATTTTTTCACCGATTTTCCTCATTTTTTCACCGTTTTTTCCCATTTTTGCCCCAAATCTCCCAGTGGGGGAAGCCCGGAACCTGATCCCGATGGATCCCAACGGGCTCTCGGATCCCTACGTGAAGCTGAAGCTGATCCCGGACCCCAAAAACGTCTCCAAGCAGAAAACGCGGACGGTGAAGGCGACGCTGAACCCGGTGTGGAACGAGGCCTTCCTCTTGTGAGAAAAACCGGGAAAACGGGAAAAAACGGGGGAAATAAGGGGAAAAAAGAGGGGGAAAAATTGAGAAAAAATTGGGGGAAAATTGGGGAAAAATCGGGGGAAAATCGGGGAAAAATCGGGGAAAATTGGGGGAAAAATCGGGGAAAATTGGGGGAAAATCGGGGGAAAATTGGGGAAAAAATCAGGGGGAAAATTGGGGAAAAAAAGTGGGAAAAATTGGGGAAAAACCAAGAAAAATTAAGGGAAAAAAAGTAAAAATTGGGGAAAAAAATGGGAAAAATTTGAGAAAATTTTGGGGAAAAAATGGGAAAAATTTGGGGAAAAACGGGGAAAATTGGGAAAAAAATGGGAAAAATTGGGGGAAAAACGGGGAAAAATTTGGGGGAAAACGGGGAAAATTGGGAAGAAAAAATGGGAAAAATTGGGGAAAAATTGGAGAAAAAATGGTAAAAATTCAGGAAAAAAATTGGGAAAATCGCGAAAAATGGCGGGAAATTCACAGAAATTCCTGGATTTTTCCCGGGTATTTTCCTGGCTATTCCCCAAATTCCCGGATTTCCCCAAATTCCCGGATTTTCCAGCACTCTCCGCCCCGGGGACTCGGAGCGGCGCCTCTCGGTCGAGGTCTGGGACTGGGACCGGACGTCGCGCAACGACTTCATGGGCGCCATGAGCTTCGGCGTGGCCGAGCTGCTCAAGGGCCACGTGGACGGCTGGTGAGCCAGAAATGGGGGGAAAAAGGGGGATTTTGGGAA